AAAAAAAAGGTTTATCAATTTGAAAGATAGATTGCACGTATAAAAATCACTCTGATATTTTTACAATGATTTTTTTCTGTTCTTTGTTTTTATATGTTGGGTTGTGTTATTTTATGCGTGCAAGTATTTTTTAATTAATTTTCTTCATCAATTATTTCATGGGTTTTGATTTTTTTTTTTTTTTTATTCGAGAGGAACATATGTTTGTAATATATGTATAGATATATACATGCATTTGTATTATGCATGTGTGTATTTTTCTTGATTATCCTCTTAATTTTTTTCCTCTTACGTTTTTCTTTGTTTGTTTGTTTGTTTGTTTGTTTTTTTATCGAGAGAGAGAATATCATTTTTGACTTATATAGTTTTGTAATTTTATTTACATATCACTTAAGGATATCGTCGGATATTAAAAAAAAACAAAAAAAAAATGTAAAATCATCAAAATTGAGATAGGCCAGGGGATCGGCAACCTTTTAAATCGGAAGAGTACAAAAAATTACATATTTACAAAATTTCAAAGTTTTTTTTTTAAAGAGCCACCAAATTTTTTCTTGCCAACAATAAACAGTACTCGCGTAAATAAAGTTTTTTGATAAGAAAAAAAAAACTAATTTATTTATTCATCGGTGCCTAATCCTCTTTAATCGATTCAGAACGATTTTTAAATGTTTTTCTTTTTTTTTTTAACTAAAGAGCCGCAAAGAGCCGCCGCGAGCCGCAGGTTGCCGAACCCTGAGATAGGCCATTGGGAGAAATTAGATCAAAAGGAAAAAGGTAGATAGATAAAAGATAATAAAAAAAGATAATGAGTCTCAAATCTATCAAATTATTAATAATAAATATTTGTATAGATGATTTTTATCAAATTTGTTTTTTTTTTTTCATATTACAAAGACACACACATATACACACACACACATATATATATATATATATGTATACATGCATATGTCTTTTTATTTTAATTAAAATCTTGATCTTAACTTATCTTTTTTTCATGTTCTATCTTTTAAGACAGGTTTTCTAGGAACGGTCAAGAAAAAGATAATAATTAGAGGAAGAAATAGGAAAGGTGTACTACACTATCATGATGATAATGATAATGATAATGATGATGATAATATCGAGAAGAAAGCACACGCTTCGACGATAACACTAGACATAGTTTGTTACTTCAAATTATTGTAACACCAGGAACTTGTTTCCTTTTCCTTTTTTTTTTTTTTTTTTTTTCTGGATTCTTATTCGGGGACCTTCAAGGAACAAAAGGATAAAAGGTAAAAATTTTTTTTTTTTTTTTTAATTAACAAACCGATTTAACGGACCGATTTAACGGACGGACGAACGGATACGATATATAAATATATATATACGATCATTTAACCGTGCTTGCTTGAATAGAATTTTTTTTATTTATTATTTTTACTCTTCATTATCTATAATGATGCTGTCCCAATCCTGCTGCAACTTGCTATCTGTAAACACACGTATTAAAAACATTTGATTAGTTTCAATAAATTTAGTTAATAAACGTGAAAATATTCACGTTTCATTTTATACAACGATTATTAAATATAATAATAATAATGATATAATTATAATAAATTTAATTTTAATCATAAGTATTATTCTGTTTTATTAATTATTAAACCTTAGAGTGCCATAAACGCATATATGCGTTTAATAAAAATTACCATAATGGTCTATCAATTAATATACGTGTTTATTAATATGAATTAATTAAATTATTCCGTTTCTAAAAAACATTTCAGTTAAAAGTATTCAGCACTCAAAGGATTAATTATTAAACCATTTCATGAGAATTGTTATTAAAAATAAAAAAAAAAAGACAAAATTGACAAGGATGCATTTCTAAAGGGTGAAAGAGAGACAAAGAGAGAGAGAGAGAGAGAGAGAGAGAGAAATAATAAAATAAAATAAAATAAAATAAAATCAAATCAAATAAAAATCAAGAATGAAAATAATAATAATAATAATAATAATAATAATAATAATAATAATAAAAATAAGAAAGAGGTAGAAGATTGAAGATAAAGAAAGATGGAAGTGCAATAAGGACGAGGTAGTTCTTCTTCCAGTGAAGATTACTCTGAACGACCCACGCGTCTAGACGTCTTAAACTTTTTACGGTGCTTGCACGAGGCGTGGTGTATGACGCGAATGGTTCTGTACTTGGAACAACTGCTCCAATATATGTATATATATATGATCCAGTACTACCACTTTTCAACCACGCCTCGCACTAACACATAAACATATATATATATATATATATATAGAGAGAGAGAAGCTTTTATCCTGGATATACCTCGTCCTCGATGTCCCTGATACGTTCAAACTTATATACGAGTATATATATATATATACTTGTACTTATGTGCATCGATAACACTATTTTGTATTATTTTTTTTTAAATCTTAATATTGTAGAGTATATAAAAACATAAATAATAATTTATACAATTTTTGTTTGTTTTATACTTGTATATGTTGTTTCTATTAAAAAAAAAAGTATGTATCTAATATTGTATCTACACTAATTTGGATATTTTAGATTATTATTACTACTTATAACATTTATATTATATTTAATTATATAAATTATGTAGCTCACAATTAGTCCGATACACACGTCTTTAAGTCAACGAATTACTTTATACCGTCATCTATTAGAATCTTATCAAACTAACAGAGATAATTATGACTCTAATTAATTAATAAACAAATAATTCGCAATAAAATAATATTTCGATTATACATTGAGATATAAACTATCCTATCTTTCAAGTTGGATGAAATTGTACATAGTGTGTAAAATTTGATTAAAATCAGCTCAGTACTTTAGGAGTCCATTGCGGACAAACAACGTCATACGTAATTTATTAATTTTCATCATTTAATTTATATTAAATTAAATTATAATGTATATTAAATTTTTTTTAACAAAATTGTATAATCATAATTTATTATTTTATCTTGTTAATTTGTAATAATATAAAATATTTCAATAAAAATTACAAATTGATACGTTTAGATGACAAAATGTTCATTTACAGTAGCAAGACACAATATTTCTATTATAAATTCGATGACACTATAGACAATAAAAAATGACAAGTAGGTTAACGCGTTGAATTTTTCAAGATTTTGCAATGGAATCCTTTTTTTGGAACGACTAAGTGTGTTTGTGTTAAGAATTCGAATTGAGTTTCGCACAAAATTGTCGTCTATACCGTTCAACCTATATTTCCAAGGTCTAATGCCCGAAGCAACAAGGATAGAAGTCAAGGGTAAAGACGAAGTATCACGTGAAATATTTTGATTGGTATGTCAGATGTTTGTGCGTATGTGTGTGTGTGTGTGTGTGTGTGTGTGTGTGTGTGTGTGTGTGTGCGTCAAACGACGCATTTCAATGTTTCTTTCCTAGATATTATCCGTCGAGGAAGACTGGCAGTAGGCCAAGGATCTTCTTTAACATATTTGCAAGATTTCAACTAATTTATCTATCACGGTTAAAAAAAAAAAAAACTATTCTTTCAATGTGACCAATAAAATTGTGACGAATTTTTGCAAATAGGTTTTCGTCAAAAGATTTGTCATGGCAATTGACATGGACAAGACCTGTCTTAAAATTCTCAAACTGGGTTATCTTTTTTAAAGGAGAATTGCTAAAAATTGTGCGACTACGTTTTTTTTTATGATTCTATTATACACGAGTTGTAGTTTTGAAAAAAAAAAAAAAAAAATAAAATGGCTAACTTTTTGATCATCGTATTACAATAATCTATTTAAAAAATAACCTAAATATTTATTTATAAATGCTTACGATGAATTATCACGTGACACGTGATTTAAATTGGTATTGGGATCTCTGGCAGGGAGGGGGGCGTGGCGTAGCAATTTGACCTATCTACTCTAATTTTGAATTTAGCCACCAGATAGCGTAGTCAAGCTATCCCAATAGCAAAATTTCCCCCCAAAAAAAAGAACAAGTAAATTAAAATCGTAAGTGGCGTTGTGGATTGATTTTTGAAATAGAATTTTTTTTTTTTTGAATATATTTCTGTCTCTCTGATATGAAACTTCCGGTTGTGTTTGATCGATTTTGAGTTTGTAATAGAAAAAAAAAAAGAAAAGAAAAAGAAAACTGAGTGCATACACACACACATACACGCATACATAGACAATGTAGGTTTTGATGCTCAGTCACGATGATGGGTTCTGTTGAATATAAATATATAAACGATGATCGGTAAGATGAAGTCAGCGTAATCGTTCGTTCGTTGGTTCGTTCGTTGGTTCGTTCGTTGCTTCGTGAGTCTTCTAACAGTTCTAACGACGACCTTAGGTAAAGGCGATTAGAGTCGCACGAGTCTTCCTGAGTCGCGCCTGTTATCGCAGGACTACAGAGTGAATTGTTATTTATAGAGAGAAAGTACATATATATATATCTGTATGTGTGTGTGTGTGTGTGTGTGTGTGTGTGATCACGTGAAACACGTTTGATACCTTCCTTCACGAGTATCTTTCAAAAACTTTCCTCGAACGTTTCAACTTTGTTCAAATTATTATTATTATTTTTTTTATTATTTAATTTTAATATAATTAAAATTAATTTTTAAATATTTTTTCTTTTTTCAAATGAAATTTATCGTAATGCAATTATTTTATTTTCTTTTTGTTCAAATTTATAGTCGAAGTATTTTTTTTTTTTTTTTTAAATATATTTCAATCAAAATGATTCATTCGTATTTTATAATTTTAATTTAAAATAACTAAAATAACTATATAATAAATATAGAAAATAATTAAAATGACAATAATA